ATATAATTTAAACAATTAATCAGTTCATGAAGAAAATACCTTCATTCCTATACAACCATTTCAGTTTGGCGGGTATATCTTCCGTGTAACAATCCCAGGTCTCGTTCCATACATGATTAGGGTCGGATACAATGTCATTTTCTAATAATTGTGCAAACAAATTTCTGCAGTATTTAGATGATCCCCATGTATAACCCTGCCGTGTACAGTCTATGTATTCTTTATCATCATCAAGTAAACCTCTTATAAAGCAAGTTTGTTTGAAGGATAAATGTTTTGTCCCCTTAAATGTCAATATATCTTCATAACAGGTTGGTCCTTTGACTATGTTAAGTAGGACTCTTAGATAATAAGGTTCACCAGCAGCTATAGGGACTCCATAGATTCTACCGATAGCTGAACCTCTCTGTCTTGGCTTCCAAATTTTTTCTTTTCTTTTCCATACAAAATATTTAGGAAACTGTATGTATGTAAGCTCCTTAGCTTCAGGGTAAATAGAGTTAGCTTCCAACCAAGCAGTAAACATTGAATGTCTGTTAGAAGCTCTGGTAACAACAGCTTCTACAGTTTGATCTTCGTCATACATAACACTGTGTTGACCAGGCATATGGAAGCTGAGACGTTCTACATGATGTGACCTGTAATGTATTGGAAACTCGAACATACGCCATGCAGCTTCACAACCTGATAAATACCGTCCTTCGTACCAATCTTTAACTTCATCTTTTGGACCTTTATCCAAATTTTCTCTCACAACTTTACCATTTATAGTGTATTTGAAAGAAACTCTGTCAGAACCCTTATTAAGATATTTGAACAGATATTTTATGCTCCTGCTTGGTTACACCATTCAACATTTAAATGTGCATGATACCTGACAGTCAAATATGGGTTATAACCAACAACCCATCTGTTGTCTATAGTCGCACCATCTTTCTCAAATGTTCGACCATCATTCCTTCTCCTGTAATCTGGGAAACCATCATCATCTATGCTGGTTGTCTCTTTGAACTTTTTGGGGAACCTTTTTGAACATCTTTTCTTAACCATGCAAGGACTATAAGGAAAATCATCACCACATGGACCATGAATCATCATCTCAGTCACAATACTGTATATGACAGGATCTTTATCCTTATCAGGGAGTTCTGCACATATGAATTTATCAATATCTTCTGGTTTTGTTAGTTTATCATCACGATGCAACCACACAACTATATGTGCATGTGGGAGACCTCTTTTATGATACTCAATGGTATAGACAGCTGTAAAGGATAATTTCAGTGATCTATAAACTGTACTTTCCATATAAATTACATTTTAACAGCATGAATCACCATAAATGAAAGTAATATATTAAAATACCTGCTTCCTGTCTGCCAAATACCTTGTTTGATTTAATCTCTTTCATCAGACAGTCAAGTTTCATCATAAAAACCCTGGAAACAATATCTGGTCTATCTTCAGGCCTTAGTCCTTTTTTATTGCAATATCTGATTATCTCTGGCCACTTGATATTGCATGTGAAAGTTGAGAAAACATCAGGATAACCATAGGTCTTAACTAATGCCATTGCATCAATGTAATTCTCCCTTTTCCATCTGTCACCGCCTGTGAATGAAGACGGTATCACAACCCTCCCAACCTCAGATGCATCTGAATTTCCAGTTGTCAATGATTTCCGCATGTTTTCATACGTTTCACATCTGAGATTTCTTTGATTCTTTCTAATCCAGCATATTCTTCCTGATTCAACTGCACTATAACCATCAACCAGAAACTGTTGAAACAGTCTTCGAGCATATAACAGCATTGAACCATCTTCATATCGATCCTGCATACGGTATGCAAACCATTCACGTATACTCATCCATTTACGTGGTCCTTTAATTTGTTCATCCAATCCTTCAGTTTCATTTTCTTCTTCTGGTAGATCTCCATCATCATCTTGATGAGCATCTAGATCTCCAAGTTTGATATTGATCTGAAAACCATCTTCACCATATGGGAAAATTAAAGGATATTGAAGTGAAATATAGGAAGGATGTAATTCATTGATGCGCTGAAGTTCACCAGATTTATATTGAACAATGATGTCTCTTGTTTCAGTTTTGTTTCCTTCATCTCTTGGTAGAATAGCTGCGACTTCATCAACTGTTGGTAAATTATGTGTTCTGCCATCCGTGTATCTATTTGAAATAAGTTTCAATCTGATTTCAGCCGAATAGCCTGCCTGAAGAGTATCACGTATCTTCCTGTATGTTTTGACCAACACATTGTGTTCATCCATCACATCCTTAATCTCATTTACAATATGTGAATCAAGTTGATGTGTTTTTTATTGAGTTCTGCCTGAACTGCATTTACATTGAAGCAGTAGGTTTTAGAAGTTGTAAAAGAATAAGTGTTGTAAAAACATAATAGTAAATAATTTAAAAGTATTTTTCCAGTATTTGAATATCAAACTATACCTTAAAGCTCCAATCCTGTTATCGACTTCATTTTGAGTATCATAAATATATAACTGAGAAAACTTTGGTCTCAAATCATCTTCTGGAAGTGACTACCCATGAAGTGGCTGTTATGTCCTTGCATTTTGAATAAATATGGTGCACGACCATCATTGATTGAATTTACAATGTTACCACCCATTGATGTGAATGCGAACATATTATTATATGCTCGGATATTTACCAAAAAGTGTCTACTTTTTGCATCATTAGACATGAATAAACTCTTTAGTGGAGCAGGTGGTTCTTGAAGTAAAGGAAGGTGTATTTGTCCTTTTCTGCAACATATAGAGAATTTAGGACATGACTCTCTTCTTTGTTTGTTTGCCCTTTCTGCGTACCACATATTAGCACAGCAGTATTCACATACATATGTTGGGTCTCTAAGTCATAGTATTCTGGAGAACAAAAAAATTTGCATAATACAGTTAGATGCAAATAAATGTAAAATCTCAGGTCTTTAAATTTCTTGGAATTTGGTACCTGTATTTATATATGATATTCTTTTCTGAGTAACTTTGCATTTCCCAGGACGCAACATGTTTTTCCTTCTGTTGGGAGCGCTTTCTTCAGTACTTTTTGTCCTTCCATAAGGCACAGTATCAAATGCATTTATGATGGCTACATATATCCGTCATTCAAAATGGAGGATAACATTTAAGGTATGATTCAAAATCAAAGCATATTATTAAAAGAAAACTAAATGAACTTTTTTTTTTTAACCTGATGAGTTAGAATCTCCAATATTTGTTGAGCTTTGCAAACCTTTCTGTGTTATTTGACTTTTATCATATATGACAACTCCACCCCTTAATACTGGTGGTATCTCTGTAACTGTGTTCCCTTTCTTTTTGTCTAATTTTTGCTTTCTTTCCAATCTCGAATGTTTAGAAGTACCTAATAAAATGAATATAGATCATACTAACCCTGGAAAGCAATATTACAAACAATGTAAACAAAACTAATATATCAATAATAACATACCTTTCAAACCTCCACTGTTTGATATTTCTGAAAATTCAGATACTGGTAGAGACTGGCTGACCATATCTTTTTTCATTCTCATATGGTGTAATATTTGTTTTCTACGATTCCTTGCAATCTTAGCAAAAAAATATTTACTGTTATTTGTTGATAACGAATTGAAAACAACAGTACCTCACTTTTTAGCATTTTGATCAACTTGATCTAGGATAATATTATCCTTCTTCGCATCCTTGCAGTCTTAGAAGCAATACAACAGACTTTAGTTTGTTTTGTAACCAGATTGACACTTTGCTTTGGCTTTGGTTTACATGTTGAACCTGGAAATCTTGATATTTTTTTACTGTGTAAGATCTATTTTCTGAACAATCTGGCTTCTTTTGCTTGAACATTCACCATTCTGCTCTCTGACAAAATGTTCCAGACTTTGACTCCAGGACAAATTAAATTAGGAGATCTTACTAATCCATTATTCTGAAAAGAAATCAGCTTTTATAATTGTAATATATATGTCAAAATGTAATTTAAAATCTTATCATAATATTCGATAAGATGGAACAAAATCATTGTAGATAATTATATTAATAATTCTATATTCTATATACTATAATAATAATGATGTTTATCAATTATCAATATTTTTTTATCAAATCATGAAGATTTCAAATACCTTATAAGATATATGTGATAATAATATATAAGGATAAGGATAGTAATATCTGTTCTTTACCTTTTCTGTTTGAAAAAAAAAACATATGATATTTTGAATTGTATATTTGTATTTACAAAGGTTTACCTAAATAATAATATATATATTTTTTGTATATTGGTAACTTAAGTATTTTCAGAAGGGTTACAAGAATGTATGTATATATATATATGTATGTATTCATATATATATATATATATATATACATATTGTAGTTTTATTAAGTAAGTAATATTGGTGGATGACATAAAAGTGATACTGTTAAATGGAGAATAACATTATATAATGACTGAAATAAAAATTATTACCATTTGAAATAAAAACAAAACCATTGACAGAATCCTTAAATAACTTCAATGTAAACAAACAGTACACAACAATGTTCTTAAAAAATCATAAAATAATCAATCCAAAATCTAAATTTATAAAACTTCGAGTGTTAAGAGTCCCTTGTTAGCTGCCTTGCGAGCATCTATACAAAAGGCCAGTGTTATACCAACAGGAATTTTCATTATGCTCATCATGTACTCGAGATCTCCTTCAATAACAAAACGATGCGGGTTGTCTGTTGTTAAAATACGTTCCATTCGTATGACAGGAACTCCATCATAATACAAAATAGCACTTAATGCATCTTCTACATTCAACCTCCTGATCATATGCCATGGTATTTCCTGCTCCAGCACGTAACATTTAAAAACTCTTATATTTTCCCATAACATAAAATGGGATAATATTAAGTATGGAACTGAGATTTAGGAAATGAAATGTAAAGCACTAAAGTTATAATGTTTTGGTCATACCAATCTGCCACGTAGTATTTGGATGTTATTCATAATTGCAGAAAATGTATTCTGATCTCCATTACTACTAAGGTAGGCAACTAAATCAATCTCACCTGAAAACAAATGAGTATATAAATGATAAAATGCGTGTAAGAAAATATTTAAACTGTAAATAACAATGTAATAATCCACAAATATAATGAACTTAACTCACCATCAGATGTATCTGAATCTTCAAGCATCAGATTACAACAGTAACCTTTATTGTCGAAAATGCGCAGATTGAATTTTAAATTTCCAATGTAAACAAAAATGACATTGATACATTTAAGATGATTAAAGTAATAGTCAACAAACTCTTCCCATTTAGGGCCTTCAAAACCTGCTGCTTCATTCTCCTCCCTGTAGATCATGAATTCCCAGTTGTATTGCTTAACATCCACGGCATTTGCTATGTTCTGTTCTGAAGGCCAGTGGATCCCAGAAAAGAACTGCTTGTCAACAACCTACAAAATATGATCAGATAATAATAATATGAGTTATCAAGTTCAATAAATAATTGGCCTTTATCTGAATGTAAATTTTTTTTAATAAATGAGAAAAATACACATTGTTCATAATTAAAACTTACAGCACGGGTTCAATGACTTCTCATCTAATTTCATGAGGAGGCGGTTGCCAATGGGTAAATTCAGATCTGATTGAAGTCGTAGACATCCATCATATGAAAAATGGAATTAATTGAATGAAATTACCGGATAACTGATATATAACATGTAACTTTGATGTGTGGAAAACACCAATCTCTGTGAGGAATTCTTCAAGTGCAGATCCATACAACTGACATCTCCTTTTCTTATTAATATGAACATTAACAAACACCGTGCGTATTCCTGGAGCATCAATTCTGATCTGCTTTCCAACATGTCTGATAATTGAAGTTAAGTTGCTGCTAAGTATCTGTTAATTTGCAGAGAACTTGTTATATATGAAAAGCCTTAATATATAGAACGGAAATCATCACAGGAAGACATTTTAAAACATACCAATCCTTTTGTTCTGAAGTCAACTGGAACTACAATCACTTGTTCATATGCCTGCTCCATGTTGTCTTAACACTGGAAAGTTGATCTAAATTTTGATTGATAACACCAGAACCAAATCATATATATTGGTTGATGTTGTGCCTTCACGTTATGTGCTGTTGAACTTTTTAGAACCCTTGAAGAATAGATGGGAGATAAAATTTTAGTTTCATTTATACAAATCCTGGATAGTTCTGGAAAATAAGAAGACTTTTAATTAGACTGAAATTGTAAAAGGGAAGTTACCAAATTTTTACTGATGCCTGTTGAAATATCCCATAAAATTAGGAGAACATAATAAATTTATTATTTTAGAATATTGAAACAGGTTAAAAGAATCCTGTTATAAATGAATGTCTTCATATTAATAAAGTAAATCCAATGTATTCTATTTTTATAATGAACGTCATACTCCTAATAATTTATTACATATATGTGGAAAATTAGTATTATTATGGGACTAATGTCACGCTAATTGATAATACTTAAGTTATTATGTTGTTATAGTCATTATTTGTTGTTCAGTTATTCAAATATTGAAAAATACACTAAATGTAAGATAACTTTTATATTACATGGTGAAACATAATTAATCAAACAACAATATTGAAAGCATCTATCAATTACATAGACTGAAAAAAAAACTTAACAACACTATTTCTTGGTTGGACGCTATTCTTGTCCAAATGGAATTAAAAGAGGTTTCCTGTTGCCATGGCATTGTCAGAGAGCAACTTCTCCCAGTCTCTCACAATGTTTAATTTACAAACTCTTTTTCCAATGAACCTTTTGTCATAAGGCTGTTGAAGTTTCATTCAGATCCAACAATCAAAATCCTGCTTTCATGTAATCCTTCTGTACTATGAATATCTATTGTTATCCTTCTTTATTTTTTCATGCATTAAATTGATTCTTCCTTGAATGGCATCACAGCTTTTTCACACGCTTATTGACTTTTGATTTGACACTCTCCTCACCGGCACTTGCAGGTAGCGTATTCTTTGAAGGAGGACTCTCTGCAATGTAATCGCGTGGAAGTCCATGTCAGTATGATCAGTGGAGGAAATGGCAGTCTGTGTTTACATGACACTATAAGTGTTGGAAAATCTGTTTATTGTACAAATTTACATGAACTTTAAATCATAAATCTCACATATTCATTATAAGTTCGAAATTGTGATATAGAATTTTTAAATACCTTTGCAGTACTATCCTGATTAGTTGTTCTGCTTTGATTGTATACTGCACTCATTTTATGATCAATGTCCTGAAATGTAATTGTACAAAGTTGATTATATAGGATCACTGATTTAAAATAAGATATTGCGAATAGGAAATATATGTGAGATTGTGTTTATAAAGTAGTGAACTTACTTGATCTTCAGCAACATCATCTACATAATTTTTAATAATGTCTGCCTCTGTAGTGCGTCTAGCAAGCTAAAACAAAATATTGATAACATTTTGTTCCATTCACATCCACCAACAACAATTCTGCTTTCATATTATCCTTCTGTATAATCAATGTGTATTTGCTGTAATTAATATGCTTCTTCATGCACATTAATGGAAAACATTACTTAAAACTCATGAAAAAATCATTATTATGAATGTGGCGTAGAAAACCAATCTACTTGATAAGTAAAACAAAAGGCAGTTTCATATTAAAAAACATCCAAAATTTCACCAATATAATAGTGGATTCCGAAGTTCATATAATATAAATAATGTTTACTGATTGTGAAAAAAAAATTCAGATGATGAAACACAAAAACTAAGTGAAGTGTTTCTTTATTTTTGCAGGCATTAAATTGACTCTTCTTTCAACGGTATCACAGCTTTTTGACACGCTTGTTGGGCTTTGATTTGACACTCTCCTCACCGGCACTTGCAGGTAGCTTATTTTTTGAGGGAGGACTCTCTGCAATGTCATCCCCGGGAAGTCCCATGTCATTATAATCAGTGCAGGATACGGCAGTCTGTGTTTACAGGCAAATATAAGTGTCGGAATATCTGTTTTTTGCATAAATTTACATGAAATTTTAATCATAAGTCTCACATATTCATTAGGAGTTGTGATATATAACTTTTAAATACCTTTGCAGTACTGTCCTGATTAGGTGTCAAATTTTGATAGTATTCTGCACTCATTTCAGGATCAATGTCCTGAAATATAATCGTACAAAGTTGAATATATAGCATCACTGTTTGAAAATAAAATATTGCAAAAAGGAAAAAAAAAATGATTGTGTGTATGAAGTAGGCAACTTGATCTTCAGCAACATCATCTAGATATTTCTTAATAATGTCTGCCTCTGTGTAAGCCTAGCAACTGATATCTCACTGTTACTGTTACGTATGTTGAAATTAGATACATCCAGCCTGAACAAACATTTCTTCCCAACAATTTCATTAAGTATTTTAGGATAGTCCTTCCCCTCCTGTAACATAGATAAGTCTTATTAGTTATTCCAGGCATCTTTTTTTTCTTGAAGGAAAAATGAGACTCAATTTTAAATACCTTCTGACATAATTCACCAGCAGTCTTATTAATGAAATTGTAAACCATCCTGTCCCATAAGGTTACAATCCTGCTACCAGATACATCCCTGACATATACCTGTAACTTGAACCTGGCCATATTACCATAAACAGAGCATATAACTGTTGAGAAACTACAACTGTAATATATTATCTAAAATTTCAAAGGGATAAATTAACAGTATACAAAAATAAATCTATTACTTTGGTCCAACAGCAGAAACAGGACCATGGTTACCACACATCCACTTCTTCTCAACACTTATCTTCTTTTGGGCATCAACATTCCTCCCTCTCAGTCATTGGACTACCTGTTTTTCAGCATTAGGCTTCTTACCTCTAAAGTACTCAATTTCCTCAACCTTTTTGTTGCATTCTTTGCAACCTATGTACGACCAATCATATTCTGTTGCTAAACCAGTTATCTTTGCAAAGGCAACAACATAGGCAGCCTAACAAAATAAAAAAAAAATCAACATTAATTATAATCCAAACAAAAGTAATAATAATGGGTTGACATAGAAAATTAGTACGATTTATGGTACACCATCTAGTTGATCTATGTCAGCCAATGAAAGCAGGTTTGCTTCACTTATGAAATCTTCATAAGTATTGTATCCAGATATAGAGGACATCATTGAAATTTTGTGGATGCTTGCTTGTTTGATCTCATCATCAAAGGCACTTATTGGACATAAAAAGTATTAAATCGTAATATGTTTATCATAGTCCATAAACTGTTCCACAATATATAGTATTACTTTATATTCAAATATCTCAGGCATGGTCATATCATCAAGATAAATCTTTCCATTCAAAAGATTTGTAGTAACAGAAGTTTTTGCTGTGCATTAGATGGTGATAAAATATAAGTACTAAACTTTGTAAATTGAAAGTATTAACTGGAATGTATGTATTAAGGACTAATACACTTACAGTAGTACTTCTTGCACTTTACATACTGTACAATAAGTACAACAGGAAAAGTGGGGATTGAATCCATGTATTCCAAAACTTTGTCAGCATGTTCACCCCATAAGGTTACTTTCAGCCTGTCAGCCCTTTTTTCATACATAAACAACCTTTATTATTACAATTTATTAAACATTATATAAACATTGTTTTATATGTAATAAATGTATACAACTTATATACCTTTCATCTTCAAGTTCAACAGAAATCCTTTTTTTATCATAGTCAACAATAGGATCACTGTATGCAATTATGTGACCTCTCAGATCTGCATAAATGTTTAAAATTGCAAATTAAAAAGTTTAAATACATATGAAAATGCAGATGAATACAGTCTTTAACAAATAATGAAGTAATGTAAAAACTATGGAACTTTTACCAAAACAATAATCAAAATTAGCCACAAAATTTGTAACTTCGGCAAAAGGTGCGAACTCAAAAACATGATTTGGAATGTCAAAATCAAAACACCTTCAATCAATGTGTTTGATTCAAACACGATTTTGTATTCGTGTTTAGCACAGCGAAAACCACCAGCAATGTTCAGTCCATGATCAAATCGTGACAGCCTTCTTACAGAACCTTCTTTTAAGATATCCTGAAAATCTTTCACATAACGGCCAGGAACAGTAGCCTGAATCTTACCACCCTGTATACAATAAAATGATAAGAACAAACAATAATTTCATTATTTACTCTATAATTTAGATGTATTATAAAACGAAACATGTAAGAAACCTGTGCATCAATCAAAGTCATCTCCATCGATTTAATTTTGCTGCTCTTGGAAGACTCGGGTACTTTCCATAACATCATAATCCGGGCAACAATAAAGAAATGTATGCTTTTTGTATCAATCAGTCCATTTATGTCAGCAATGTATCTTTGCGCTGCAGTTATGGGAACAGATGCAGCATTAGTTTGAACTGAAGATACGGGAACAGATGCAACAACTGCTTGATTTGGGGAGGGACTGATGGGGGCAGATGATGCAGCATGATTGGTAATTTTTGCAGTTTTCGGACTGGAAGGACCAGATGTTTCGACATGATTGGCTGGCAGCGAAAAACTGTTGACAACATTACCAACAGTTTCATTACGACCTTCATGAACAAAGGAAGGTTGCACAACATGCTGGTTTGAGTTCTGTTCCGAGGCCATGGAAACAACAAATTAAGAAAGGAACTTTTGAAGTATAAACTGTGAAGCTTGCTATATGATGGTGTATGGCTATAGAACCATTCATTTATACAGGTATTTCACTAATGATGTGACCATTTTTAAATGTTTTGATTTTTTTGATGTGATTGAAGTTGTTATGAAAGATATACATAGAATTGATAATATATATAAGAAATATGGATGGATTAGTTCTTGTTATTTGCATTTTAAAATGTGTATTTTATCCCATTTGGTATATATATCTGTTTAATGTTGATTCACAGGATAATAATAATAGAGATAGAGATAATAATAATAGAGAAAACATCATCAGTGTCAATCAACATTAATAGAGAAAAAATCTGAATTTCATATATATGATCCTGTTTTCTAATTTGAATTACAGGGCCAGATGATTCTCAAAGCTAATTTTGAGGAAGATGATTCTTTGGGATAAGAGTATAGAGGCAGCATATTCTCCAAGCTTGATTACACAGCTGGAAATCAGGGAAAGATCAGTGCCTATCCAATTGTTGTATTGATAAGAGTGCTGAAAAATTAGGCTTTGCACCGAGTATACATGTTAAAAGTATTTTGTGCTGTAAATTAGGCCATTCCGAAAAAATTCATTGAAAGACAAAACTGGAATGTATGTATTAAGGACTATCTTTATTATATATATATATATATATATATATATTTTGTGCTGTATTTTGTGCTGGAAATTATGCACAAATTGGGCTGTATTTTGTGTGCTGGAAATTAGCTCATTTAAAGGCTTTTGTTATGCTGCAGAATTTGTGCTGGAAATTAATTACAAATTGGCCTGTATTTTGTGTACTGGAAATTAGCTAATTTCAAAGCTTTTGTTGTGCTGGAAATTAGTCTTCTGACCGAGTGAACATAGGGGCAAAAATTTTGCAACCCATTGGTGAAGCCACGTGTCTTATTTTTGTAGCTTGAGATTTGTACTGTAAATGGTTTTGGAGGGAAATTTTTCTTTGTGGTGTTGACATGTGTACAAAATGTTTGTTGCTTTAAGTAAGTACACTAGATGTATAAGATTGCTTCTGTACCATTATCATATTATATTTGGTATTTGGTTCCCTGTTATTTATTTTTTTTACTGATCATTATAATGGTGAGAAACGTAGTGAGATTTCGATACATTTATTTCCTTTCCAGTGCAAAGAACGCACTTAAATGAGAAAGTAATGTGAAACAAAATTCATTGAATCATTACTTACTCAATTGCCAAAACTATACATTAAAAGAGCATAAGATGCATCACTACTTTTGTTTTAGAGCATTTGGGCCTGCACTTTTTTAATTTCAAAATTCACCAAAGTTGTCTCTTTAGTTGAAATCGATTTTTTTTTACGTGTTATATTCCAATGAAGCGCAAAACTTATGTTGTTGCACTAATGACCAAACCAAACAATATTCTCCAATCACAAAATTGGCACACTTCTTGCATAAGTCCTTCTCTAATTGCTCACGAAATCCAATCCTTTTGGACTACTTATATTGTATCTTTAATCTAAAACACAATCCGAGTACATATAAATAACATCAGAAATAAACAAATAAATATTATCGTGACAGAAGATGGTAAAATATCCATGATTTGAATTTCTTCATCTAAAATTAAATTTCTGCATGACAAGCCATATCAATAACTCTAGATCAAAGTAAATACTTTCTCCACCAACCGAAAAAGGCCTTAATACCATAAAAAAAACATAAAAACATTATAAAAGAGAGATGAAAAAAAAATGTCACGTCTGGCTATTCCCAAATTGTAAACCATTTTTTCTCAATCGAAGTAAGATAAGAAAATTGAGAAATAGTTGAACTGGAACCATTTCTTTCCAATGAATAAAGATAAGGAAGTTGCGTGTTTTTTTTCCAGATAAGTGAATTAGCAATTGTTGAAAACAAAAGAGGTTTCTTATATATACATATTTTTCAATTCCAATTCCAATACTTCAACTCAAGGAAATAAATGAAATAATAATAAATTCATTATTAGAGTAATAATTTATTGAGAAAACAGTTACAATAAACCGGAAAAAAATAATAAATTGGATTGGTTGTAGTTGTGATAAAATAATGGAGGAATTCAAAGAGACCAAAACCAATGAAGGGAAGAGGAAAAGGCCCATATACTTCACACTAACACCATCATAAAAGGGATCATGAATATTTTTAAAAACGATTACAATTAATAGGAAAGTAAATAATGAATTAGATTTATTGTAGTTATGGTAAATAATGGAGGAATTCAAAGAAACCAAAACTGACGAAGAGAGAAATAATGTTATCCTTTCATCTTCATATCATACTACTAAAACTATCGACAAACTCGTTATTTTATGTATAGTCGATAAAAGAGAAGACAAGTTGGGCCAGTTAAGAAAAATCTTTTATATACAAAATGGGCTTGTCAAATTTAGGATTCTTCTTTGGTGTGGGCAATGTGCTTTTGATAAAACAATACATAAACTAGTTGGACTAATTAAAAATATAAACAGAAACCCAGATAAGTACTGATCATCATCTTCTTCATCAGTTCACTGGATGGGCTCCACTATCCGGCGTTGCCAATTACAGAACCCTATTAAGGGAAAATATTGCCGTTCGGGGGGTCAGTCGACCCTCCAGACCCCTATGTAGGTCCACCGATGCCTAGGTCTCCATTTCTTCATGCAACTTCTGGACAAAGTAGAAGAATGTCTTGCTCCTCAGCAGGGTTCTACTCTTGCAAAACCATTTACAACACATGAAGTGTGAAATGTAATTAAATAGATGTCACCGTGGAAATCACCAGGTCCGGATGGAATTCCAGCAGGTTTCTATCAAAATACAAGAGCGTCATTGAAGCTGAGGTTGAATCTACCTTTTTGGAGGCAATTGACAAACACTAATTTCTGGCTGAATGGAACCAGATGCACATTTTACTTATCCCGAAGATTTCAAATCCAGTAAGGTCTAGTGATTTTAGTCCAATCAGGCTGTGCAATATTAAGCATAAAATCAATACTAAAATGATCACCAATAGACTAAAAAATGTGATAAATGACTTGATTGATGAGCACCAAAATGGCTTCGTCCTGGGACAAAACATAAGTAAAAACTTACTTATTGCTCATGAGGTGATTGAATACCTTAGAAAGAAATTGATGATCCAGCTCCAGATGAAAGAGTTTCTTCCATGTTCTCTATCTTTGTCATAAGACCCATCACAAAATGCTTCAAATCCACTAAATCCGCCGGCACCACCACTTGATCTTGTGGAACAATTTCTAACTTCTCAAGAATCTGTTGAATTGCACGTTCAACTTTCTCAACACGATCGGTAAGTGTCCCCGATCCTACCATTTCTTAGCCTCAACAAGCACATACCCCCCAAGTTCTTCCTATGAATTTAGAGATCTAATGGTGTGAGATCTCCTAACAATCCCACCAGCCCTCACTAAATATCGGTCAAGGCAGCGAAAAAATAACCCGATACTTAGCTAACAAAATGTATGCTTAGAAATTGATAAAAACAAAATCTAAAACACACAAGAACTTAATGGACCAAAGTTCCAAATCCCTCACAAACTTTTATTCAATTCAACAATACGTTTACAAGAGATTTCTACCCAAACTTGGGTCAATCGCCTACACTTAGGCAATTCTCAACAACTATGCCCTCTAAAACTCAAGGCATAAAACTCTAACCTTCCTCTCTTATCCTAATAAATACAAGTCTACAAGTATTTATAAGCACATGATTGACAACCCCAATCATCTAGGCTATTAGATTACAAGTAAATTAATTGTATTATTAAATTACTAAAATAACTACTCACACTCCAAATAAAACTACTTTAGCAACTAATAAAAAACTAACCCCTAACTTGAATCTCAGCCATTTGGCGCTATGTTCTTAGCCATTCCCAACTCATGGCTCGAACCAATTAGCCAAACAAATGCAACCATGCACCAAAAAATATTTAGGAAAGTCATAGGATAATTTTATTCTTATAACAAACCTCCCCCACTTAAAAAGTTTGATGCCCTCATCAAACAAATCGACATAGTTCCTTCCTAAACTCCAATTCTGTTTGAACAACATCACCAATAATTACCACATTGATCTTTTTCTTAAGAAGATGAACCTTGGCTTCATTGATTCCCTTAACTGAAACAGCCCCCCAAGTCCCCATGGACTTCATTCAACAACCCTCATAATACCCAACCTTGAACTGATTGTTTTTTCATTAGCAACTTCTTCCGCTTGGAGAGTATTTGCAGTAACAGCCCCACTCTTTTCTCATAATGGACATTCTCGAGTTCGATGACCTTCTTTTTCGCACTTGAAAGAGCCTTGCCTTTCTCCTTAGAGCATTTCCATTGTCATCAACCTTCATCGGTTTAACAACTTTCTCTTTTGTTAAGAGCTTGTCTTTCTTAACCTCTTTTTTCAAAGTCTCCACCAACTGGTGTTTGCATATCAACCAACCTATCAGAATGGATTGCTTTTCATTTATTTAAAAACAAAGGATAAAATTGAATGGGAAAATATGCGCCTTTTATTTAACACGAACTAATTTTTATTAAAAAATTTAAATGCTACTTATTATTAGATTTATTGATTATAATAATTTTTTAATATTCACAGAACGTTATTAGTTTAACTGTACCATAAAGTCAAAACTATAAACGACAATCACTTATCTTAAAATTTTATTTATTTTTTGGTTTCCTCAGTATGTTCACCAAAAAGGGAAACTCTTACTTGACGTGCTCTAAATTTTCTTCTAAAAATCGAAATATTTTGGGTCTATCCATTTTTTTTTTTTAAATTTTTTGTGGGTTTTTCAGCTTAATTTTTGACAAGTAGCCATATGTACCATAAAAGATAAGTGCTTGTTTGGACAACGTTTTGTTTTAGTTTTTTATTTGGATTTGGAAGGAGATTTAAAATGTAGTTTAGTTTTTAATTTAGAAAAGTATTATAGTAGCCATTTATGAAATTGAAATAATTCAGTGACCAAAATGAAAACTTTACAATAGTGTAGTGACTAAACGCAAGATTTTACATTAGTTCAGACCAAACACAAGACTTTACAATAGTTCAGTGATAAAACACAATAAAGACTTTACAATATTCAGTGACCAAAATGAATACTTTATAATAGTGTAATGACCAAACGCAATATTTCAAAAGATAAATTAAAATATTATTTAGATAATGTATTGGATTTTGTGTTTAAGAGGTAAAATGAGACTAAAAAATAAAATAAGAGATTGGACCAACAAGGCCGTTATTCGAAAGTCTAAATATGAAATGTTGAATCTGCATAATTTTTATTTTTTTTAATGAAGGAAAAAAAAGTAATAAGAGCTTTGGAGGACTTGATTTGTAGTCTTTAGAGCTTCGGAGGTCAATTCGACAAAACTCATGTATGAGACAGATTTGAAACCCAGATGGCCGTTTTGCAATAAGTTCCGGAAGTGGAGGTTTAACTAAATTGTTGAAAGTTGAAACTTCCAAATTGATTCGGCTCACAAATCTTCTTCCTTCCTTCGCCGGTGAAACCCAAAGTTACAGCAGAAGTGGAGGTTTAACTAATTGTTGAAATTTCCAAATTGAAATCGGCTTATAAATCTTCTTCCTTTCTTCGCCGGAGAAACAGAAACCGCCGCGATCACCACCGCCCCCACCGCCGAATATTTGTTAGCTACGGAGGTTGTGCATCTTTTATTTAAAGGTAAAAAGTCTTTTCCGAGGATCTTTAGCAATGGAGGATGAATATTTCTGCACCACATGCCCATTTAAACCTAAAACTAATTTGTTTTTTACTTCTTTTTTCCTTTTTTTTTTTTTTTTGCAGTTCTGGGTGTGCCCGGGCTTCTCCGGGCACATAAACTAGATTCGCCCTTGGAGAGATACAAACAGAGAAGACTATTGTAAACCTGTTGAAGGCATTGAAAGAATCCTTAAATCTACCAAGCAAACATTTAGGAGTTGACAACGTCAGACTTGTTGAAAGATAGGCTCGTGCAAGTATGCCAAAATTTGTGGACACAAGCTAGCTAAAATATGTAGTTTTTATGCAGTTATTTCTTTGAAGTTTATTGGTGTGCTCTTTCTTCCTCGTCATCAGTGTCAATGAAGCCTGTTTATCGGCAAACTATGCATGTTTTGAAAATTTAGTTTGTGAGAGCAGATACTATGTATCAATGATATAGTCAACTTGTCCTAGTGTGATTGCATTTTTTGCCGTGTACTATTGCGGTCCTAGTAGGTTTATGCACACACACACACACACACAGATGGTCTCCAAGTTAGGGAGGGGAAAAAGGGGGGAGAGATTGGTACACATGCGCATATTCAGTTTGTTTGTATGAGTGGATTGCGTGTTTTTGTTTCTGGCAATATTATCAGGCTCAGGCTGTTTAAGATGAGATTATAGATTAGCTACTATGTAGTAGTTAAAAGTAACATTTCTCAAATTGTTCTCAGTTAAATCCTGATTATAACTCTCAGTGAAGGTTTTCTCTTTGACTCGGCCAGAGTATTTCACTTCTTGTTGGTGTTTTTGCTCACCTGAAACTTCCATGATAACCATAAGAACATGTTTCTTTATTTAATGTATTTTGTATAAGTTTTGAAACTTGTAAAGGTAATTATAAGAGCAAATAGTTGTCAGGTCTACTTTCGACTTTTGGCATGTCATCAGTGAAGTCCTGAATTAATCTTCTTGAAAATTGGTATCATTTACTGTCATTTGTTTTCAACTTTGTTTTGTTGAATTCTTAGTGAAACTAGAAGCTGAAAATTTTCGCTCATCCTGCTTGCTCATTTACACTGGTCCCATCACTCTCTTACTAGTTACATGTCTTCTAATTATCCTGGCAAATTCCTGAATCTTTTCAATTTGTTTTGTTGACTGTAGATAATTTCTAATGAGGTCTCCGAACAAAGATGATGAGATTGATCTGGAGAATTTGATCTTGGAAAAAGAAAGAGAGAAGGTTGTGCGAATTCACAAAGCAGTTGCAGTTTCCAACAAGGCATTACTTTCTGGCCTTGCATATTGTATTTCTTCATGTAGCATGATACTGGTTAACAAATATGTACTCTCTGGCTATGGTTTCAATGCGGGCATTTCTTTGATGGTGTATCAGGTGGGATTAGACTCAATTCCAACTTGTTTGTGTTTCCCTACCTATAAACTTATTTTATGATTTACTGAGACCTAATTAGTTGGCATATCAATGCAGAATCTTGTTTCAGTGGTGGTGGTTTGTATTTTGACGCTTTCTGGAGTAATATCAACTGAACCACTCACATGGAGATTGATTAAGGTGTGGTTGCCTGTCAATGTTATCTTTGTTGGGATGCTAATTACAAGTATGTTTAGGTATGATGCTTCCGCATTCTACTTCACCATAATGTCCATTTCTGCGAAGTTTCATCCATGAAAATGTTTTTACTTAAACCTGCTGGAACTATACCAATACATTTTTGTGAAAGCTACGTACTGGAGTAGGCTTAGTTTACTGATTGAAATAAGAAAGCTCTGTATTTAATCCTAATACTAATCTAGACTTCGGTGGCTTCAAAATGCCAGTAATGTAGTACATCTTAGATGAATTTCAACATTCAACAAGTTGCTTGTTCGTTGGTTTTATTGTTTACTGTTCTTTGTATTTTTTATTGTTTCATGCGAAGTACAAGGCCGCATTGTTTAAACATTAACATACAATAACATAAGGTGGTTTTCTTTTGATACTGTCTTTAAATAATTTTATACCATTTTAGGAAATCTAATGTGTCGTGTTTGATGAAAGGAAAGAAACACAGCACGCATGATAATGTTGCCAACCTTTTAGGGAAAAAGGCATCATCAACCCAAACCACAACTGCTTAGCTGCTATCCCCCAATATGTAGGATTGTCTATATGAACTGTATATGTTGCCATCCTGCTTTGTCAAAATTCATTTTCATTTTATTCAATTCAGTTTTATTTAGAGCTTGTTTTTTTCCCCTTCTTTTGCACCTTAGCTTCTTTTTGCAATTTGTGTCAATGATGCTCTGGTTTCTGTTCTGCGAATTATAGTTTTTTGCTTACATAAAAAGGTTCCCATTTGATTAAGTTAAATAAATGATGGTAATCGGAAGATGTCTGAGGAGGTAGATTTTGCTCCATGGCTGTATTGTCAGACAGAAAAGTGTCTATTTAACCGACTGTATGCATCCATGAATTACCGACCCTTGAGCTTTGGGTTAATTGTGTCCCTTGGTGCGTCCTGCAGTTTGAAGTACATTAATGTTGCAATGGTCACTGTCCTGAAGAATGTTACTAATGTCATGACTGCTGCTGGTGAAATGTATCTCTTCAATAAGCACCATGACAAAAAAGTCTGGGCTGCTCTTTTCTTAATGGTAAGCTTGACTGAAAGAATTCTATCTTATTTCTTATCATCAGTTGAGCCTTATCTGATACATTTTGGGAGATAGGCGAATTAAATTATTTGTTATGCATTTTGGAATGAGATATCCCTTTTAGTTTCTGTCTTCATTTATTTCCCATCTTCACCTTAAGGGATAGTTATCTTATTATTGTCTGCTTATAAAAAGCTTCAAATCATAGCAGTACCTTTAAAGGCCTTAATGGTGTGACTATCCGGGACCGCAGACCTTTGGGTTTTAATTTAGCACCGAACTTAGCACCGGACTGCCTCTTTTAGTACTTTTCTTAATGAACTTGTAGATAAACCTTCTTAGCAATGAGTAATTATCTAGTTTTGAGTGTTATTTTTATGGTTTACCCAATCAAAAGGTCAGGTTTGTTAAAAGGAAAAGAAAACACTTGTGGTAATAGAATTTTATCTCTTTGACTATTGTTATGGGTTACATATTTTTTCTTTTTTTTTTTTTCTGTTTGAAGAAGGGGGTTATAACATGTGTCTTATTGTTTTTTTCTTATCGAACAAATGGTTGGGTATTCAGATCACAATTATCCGTTTTTTCCTTGCCTTATTGCAAAGGTTTCCTTTGTTTTCCCCACCTTTTTACTGCTTTACTCTTAATGGCACTTTAGATGGAGGAATGGCAGTACCCTAACCCTTCTACTGATGACGGTACTTTTCCTGGAGTAGTTTTAACATCAAGTAGGTCTAACAACCTGGATTTGGTTTAATTTTACGAATAGCTACATCTGGTAGCATATCAATCATTTATCTACTTTGGTATTTAAAAGATATCCTGAGATAGATTAACGATTTTGATACCTTTGAAATACTTGATACTTGAGGAAAATTAAACTCTCAACTGGGAAAGTTAGCTGGTGGAAAACCTTTAGGGCTTTGCTATAATGCCTACAGAATCACCACCAGACATACAGCCAAATCAACTTTGGTATTATTAACTAAGTTATGATTGAAAGCTAAGTGAATTTTGGCAAAGTGAAGAGAGCAACACTTAAAGAACTTTGAAGTAGAGCAGCCAGAGCATGTTTTAGGACACTGGTTAGATTTGTAAGCATGCGTCTGTTGTTGCACGAAGTATGATAGTGAACAGAGTGATCTTTGAGAAAGTGAAGAAGCAAAAAATTTAAGCCATTTTAAAAGAATAAAACTAGACAATCTTCAAGAGTGGTCAAGACCATCAAAAGAATGTGTTTACTGTGGCATGAGTTCTAAATTTCTAATAGAAAATAGGATGATCTGTGGTGAAGGACCTCAGAATTTATAATGATATCAAACAGTGTCCACCTTTTCTAGTATAATCTCATGTATTTACACATTCTCTACAAGGAAACTATATCTACAGACCATGATTCCAACATTCGGTAAGAGGGTTCTAACATCCAAACCAAGGATGAGGAAATTGAAATTTGAAAATTAACTGAAGTAGTGGTTTGTACGGGAATGAAAAATTGCATAACTTAGAAGATTGCAGCAGTTTAGGAGCATTGTGCTTGGAAATTTAAATTAAAAATTACCGTAAAAGCTAAAATTGCATCTTTTGTATTTGTGTGAAAGACATAATCAAAGCAGTTTCAGGTGCGTAGTCAAAGAGGATTTAAAGAATTGAATGTATGTCATGTAACATTCTCTGAATTGTCAAGTTAGAATATTATGACCTAGCAATTACTCTTGCCTAAAGTGTTTGCAGTTCTTGAGAAACTATTGGCAGATCAACAAGTTAAAAGTTGATCGATGAAGCAGTCAATTAAAATCAGTAGAACTAGTAATTGGTTACATGCTCAAGAATGCTGTAAATGGTTACCTTGGAAATTGAGCATTTGTGTACTTTGATTTGCCACTTTGTACTCTAGTCTAAGATTTTGAAAATGGAAACGACTTATTTGAATAATTGTTTTGTATTGCCGATGGCCATAATCAGGGCTGCAATAAAATAACAAAAAAGAGCTTCACAAGCTGGTCTTGAACCCTTCTAAAAAGTTTAATTTTGGGAGAGGTGGGTTGGTCTGACGCTCTACTTCCTAGCTACCATTGACAATACTAGCTTCAAACTGCTTATAGGTGTGTGTTTGTCTGCTGGCCGAACACTTTTCTAAGTTAAACTTTGTTGTGGGATCTTTCTTTTCCACTCCCTTTTCTTCCCATTTTTAGTTGGAGTAGGGAGTGGGAATCATTCCGAAGATTCATATCTGCACCATTGATATTTTCTGTTGGTAAACGTCAAAAACTAATAGCAGACAATGAATTGATTGGAAATTTCTTTTGCAGATTATTTCAGCAATCTCTGGAGGGATAACTGACCTCTCCTTTAATGCTATTGGTTACACATGGCAGATTATCAATTGTTTCTTGACTGCATCGTATTCTGTAAGTTATAATGAGCAAATAAGTAGATAATTTTGCTGGCTGATGATATATGTGTGATTTTCCTCGCCTACTTAATTTCACTTTTTGCGTTTATATTTTTCATATTGTGTTTTTGTACCTTTACTGTTTGGTGTGGGACTGTAAAGGTGCATATGAGAAGCAAATTTTGATTGTTCTAGTTGCTTTAATGTCGTATGTTGCATCTGTTAAATGTATGACGACTAGATAACTGTTAATCAGTCGGTTCCGGGTTAAAATTTTGAAGTTATGTAGGTGTCAGAATTTAAACTTGTTACCACAAGTAGAGTTTAAACTGGGTATGAGGATCCTACCTTTAACCTTAATAGGAAAAAGATAAGTGTCAAAACTGGAGGGTCTCATAAATGAATCTAAATTTTTTGAAATCGGTGGAATCTGTCCTTTAATATATTAGATTTATTCAAGTGATGATTTGCATTAAATGCTAAGAAATTTAATACTCAATTAAAAATAATCGTTCATCAAAAAAATAAAGAGTGCTGAGACGAATTTGCAGACGCGCTACATGCACTGAATTAATTATGAAGGAAATACAAAGAAATCGTGGAAGGAAAAGTGAGAGCAACATGCTTGTGATGGGTTGGAATTGTGCTGGGGGATTTTTATATTTTCCAGTAATTCGCATAAAAAATAAAGATTCAAATTGACAGGCAAAGAAAAAGACTTAGAAAATGGGAAGAAACTTTAAGAAAGGAATAATGAGAACAGAGTGAGAATGTGTCTAATAATAGCATAAGATGGGGACATATGATCCACATTAGGCGGTCCCAGTTATTGGGATAGAGGAGTAGTTCTTGTATCTTTGTCTCTCACACTCAGCTGTTGATGCATTTTCACCTCCCCCTCATTTCTCAAACCATGACATTTGTGCTGTAAGTTCCTGGAGTACCTGCTTTCCACTTCTCTTGTATCAGAACTTTTTTCTTGATGGTTGAACTTTTTTTTTCTCTCTTGATATTGTTCATGATGCAGTTGACCCTGAGGAGGGTTATGGACACAGCTAAGCAAGTTACTAAATCAGGAGATTTGAATGAATTTTCTATGGTTTTGCTAAACAACACCCTTTCTGTACCATTGGGGATTCTTCTTATGTTCGTATTCAATGAGGTGGACTATCTATCTAAAACGTAAGTAAACGATTGTGCCAATTCTGTAATCTATATTCACATTTTAATGACTTGTGGCGCACAGTGCTACATTGTTGACACAGATAATTTAGCAGATTTTACATTGCTATACATTTCCATCATGTATCTTATACCATTTATTTGTACATAATGGCAGGCCACTTCTAAGACTGCCGATATTCTGGCTGGTAATTACTTTAAGTGGATTTTTGGGTTTAGCTATCAGCTTTACATCCATGTGGTTTCTTCATCAAACAGGTGCTACAACATACAGGTGAGATTCATCTATTATTCTGTTTAGTTGCAATACAAAATTCAGCCTCTTTTTTCTAAGTCTTTATTGTGCTTTGCAGCCTTGTGGGTTCGCTAAATAAGATTCCTCTTTCCATTGCTGGTATTCTGCTTTTCCATGTTCCAACTAGTGTGGAGAATTCAGCAAGTATATTGTTTGGTAAGTTCACAGACTCTTGAATTCAGAATACTGTTATCGATCACTTGGGTGTGAATTCAGCTTTCTATTACATACCAGGCTTGCTTGCGGGAGTGTTTTTTGCCAGAGCTAAAATGCGTTGATTCCCAGGGATGCCAAACATCTTGCTGTTGCCATTCATTCGGAGATCATGTCACAGGCAGATGTAGAACCTATGCTGGAAAAAATCTTGCTGTTCCGATAAAAAATTGCCAGCTTTCAAGAAACAGGATTATATAGTTAATTGATGATAGTTTTAACATTTCGAACATTTTTGTTTGAATTTGAAGGGTTAGGGATAGGAATTAGGCTAATGTTATATCGTGCATCTTGGAGTAAAACATTTTGCACGCTTGTGTGTTGAGGTTCGAGTGTGCGGGTAAATTCACACGGACAGCCACACGGCTCTATGAAATTGGCGCTAATGTATGTGTAAATTCACCTGTAAATGTGGCGGTCCTGCGTGTAAATTCAAAATCCTGTAGCTAGAGAAACGTTGCGGCATGTTGTATTGCTTTTGAGTTTTATGTCCATGTCTTTACACTTGGAAAAGAACCATAATTCCAACAGTTAGGTTATTTCATGTCCCCAACCCAATACTTGCATTTTCACAGTCCGTACAACAATGTTCATCCTAATTAAATTGCTATTTGTCACAAATGTATCTCAAAATATTGTTGAGAAGGATTTTTTTTCGAAAGGGTATTGAGAAGATTTCAATAGTGTTACTTTATATGCTACTTTTGTTTCTTTTTGGGAAAAAAAAAAAAGTGCCGTCTATCATCAAATTGAAAAAGGAAACGGGGAAATGATATATACTATTGTTCTTTTTGTTTTATTTTAATGTTCTTATATGCATTTTCTCTTTTAAAAAAATACTCCCTTTGGTCCTTAATATAAGAAATTTTGATTTATCCTATGTTTAACATAATACATATTTTTAATCGATAAAAAAACCTTAAAAATATTTTATAACAATCAAGAGGACACGACGAATGTGAAAATATATTTTTAATATTTTTTTGTCAATTAAAAATGTGTACTATGTGAAATTTAAGAAAATTCAAAATGCCTTATATTAAGAACCAGAGGCAGAGGCAGTGATAAAAAGGTAAAAATAAATTTCTGATTTAATAATAGGGTCCATTTGTGTTTTGTTCACCTTTTCTTTTCCCTCTTTTTTTTGCGTTTTTTAATTAATATTGTTGATTTTTCTTTTTTCTTTTCTTTGGTGGTGAAACCTATAAAGCCCGTTTCGTGGTTACATGAAACCTCAAGGGATGAAATCCATAATTTTCCCAAATGATAAGTTATGCTGCTGGATTGACTGTAATCAGTAATTTAGCCGGTGAAAAGAGTAAAAGAAGAAGAAGACAAAACTGGAAAACCTTTAAATCTCAGAAACAAATTATGGGGTTAATTCATATATCGGGATTTATAATGTACTCCTTTAGAAAATACTAATTTAACGGGGTAACAAACAATGTGGGAAAAAACACTTCTGAAGTAGAGAAGTTTAAATAGAAACTACTCCTAAAATAATCCCTCCCATTTCACGGCGTCCACAACTTCAAACCCTAATTCCGGCGAACCTCAGATCGTCTATATCTCCGTAGATTTCATATTCTCCTGCACCAAAACGCTGTTAGACAGGTAACTTTTATCCTTCCTCGATTGATTTTTTTTGATTGAAATTGATTTCATCTTTACGGGTTGATTGCTGCAAATTTCGAATTTCCGATTTTGGAATTTTTTTGATATTTTTTTGGATATACGATTCACCGAATTTCCATGAATTCCTAGGGTATGCATCTTCTTTTTACAGTATTTAATTGGTTTCTTGTAGCTTATTTTTGCACACCGAAATTGGATTAAATTTTGTAATCGTTTATAAAGGCCATCGGAAATGAGAAATGAATCAATTGCTTACTTGTACAACTGGAATACTTACCTGTGAGTGCTTCAGTTTTAGAGTTAGGATCGACTGTATCTTCTTAGTGTCGTCTGCATCATCTTTGGTATGCAGAACTCAGAAGAGTAACTTTTTTGGTGAAAGCTTTCTCGTCTTTTAATGGAGGAAAGGAAGATGTTTTTTTTTCCCTATTGCTAATGGACATTTTAAAACCGTTCTTACTATCTTCATCAAGTAAATTAACTACTACACTTGCGTGTCGGTATTAGGTTATTGGAGCTTTCATATTTTAAGGTCATTCTTACTTTTTATCTTGTTGGAGTTAAAAAGAGCTTTGGGTAGTTAATTAGGTTTGTTTTGACTTTTAGTTTTCCCTCCTTTTTTAATTTTGTTTTCTTTAACTTGATGAAAATTATGTTGTTCAGATTAGGTCCTTTTCTGCTTGTTAAGGTTGAAGGTATTGGTGATGGGGGTTCAGACAATGGGTTCTCATGGAAATGTGCAACAATCACATTTACAACAATTGGGCAGACAGAAATCTTGGTTTAGTTTGACACTTGATGAAGTAGGAAATCAATTGGGTTACTTAGATAAACTTGGTAGCATGAACATTGATGAGTTGATTAAAAATGTCTGCCCTGCAGAGGCAAATCCTTGTGACAGAGTCAGCGGTGGTTGTACTTCTCCAGCTTCTTCGTTTCAGCTTCAGGCTAGTCTTGCCTTGGTCAGAGCATTTAGTGGGAAGACGGTGGATGAGGTTTGGAGGGATATCCATCAGGGGCAGAAGATTACGCATATTCCAGATATGAATTACCAAGGACCAGGAGACCCAGCTCTTGGTGAAACAACTTTGGAGGATTTTTTGGTGAAGTCAGGGCTTTTTGTTGCAGATGCATCCTTAGCACCAGAAATGGCTCTGGATAATGAGTTGGCCTCTCAGAGTTTTGCACCAGAAGTTGGTATGTCGCCGTCCCTGTCAATTGAAACATTATCAGATTCAGCAATGCCTGGGAGAAAGAGGGGTTCTGGAGAGATTGAGAAGACACTTGATAGAAGGCTAAGGAGGAAGATAAAAAATCGAGAATCTGCAGCACGCTCACGAGCTAGGAAACAGGCAATGCTATCATTTTTTCCTTTTGTGGTTTTCGTTAGCTGTTTCGTGAGTAGGCCTCCCTCAAGAGGGTCTTTTTTTGTTAAATGATTTCTGTTGTCACCAACAGGCGTACCAAAATGAGCTGGTGAGTAAGGTTTCACATCTCGAGGAGGAAAATATGAAGCTAAAGAAAGAGAAGGTACATGATCTTTCTTTCTTTGTCTTTCTATTGGCGTACTATTGTTTTGTCTTTCTACTGGCATCACCCTTGTGATTTTGGATGAATTCTGATCCTGTTACGTAACCTTTGTGAAGTTACTGGAAATAGCATGGCATTATAAGCTTTTCTGTTTGACTACACGTCTAAGTGTATGGTACAGATATTTTACTGTAGAACTGAAAGACTAACCTAAGATATTGAAAAAAGAGGAACACAAGTACAGAATTAACTTTTGTAATGTTCAAGAAATTTTAGCTTTAGTTCTTTTTTATTTGAGATGCCCAAAATGAATTATTTGAACCGTTGACCACAGTATACTGTGCTTCGGCCTATTGGCATTCCCATAGAACTTTTACATTGTTTTATTTTGTAACTAAGCCTATTGGCATTCCCATAGAACTTTTACATTGTTTTATTTTGTAACTAAGAAACCATGATTTCTGGAGCCTGAAAAATGATGTAAAAGGCTTTCCACAAATTTTTACTTAAGCTTGAGGTTCGATCGCTTCGAGAGTCAAGAAGCTTGAGCTAGCTTTGAAAATATGGTTGTGTAGGTTTGAACTTATGAATTTGATGCTTGGCACTAATCGTTTATCGCATTATGATCCTATTAACTTAATTTGTGAAGCATGTAACTAATTTGTCTATTACTCTTCCATGGTGGGTTTCCTAATTCCTATTCTTTTCTAGATGTCCCAAATTGCAGTCTCAACAGTACAACTGCGTAAGTATATCATTTGGGTTTAACTGTATTAGTTGGAGTTTTTATTTTTTTGTAAATGTAAGGGCATATGTGGGGAGATAAATTTATGTTCTTCTAACTAACCCTAATAATTAATTTTGCATTAGTTTGCTTATAGAATTCTATGGACTTGGGAGGGTAATGTGGTTGGGGTATCCACTGAAATGGAAAGATTTGAATTCGAATTCTGTCTGTTGCTTTGAAATGTCTGAAATATTTACCGAAACTCAAGGGGTTTAGTCCTACAACTTGTACTGGCTGAAATTACACCAAATTCTATTAGATCTGATGTCAGCCGTGGGTATTTTATCTAGACATAGCAGTCATATGAGAAGCATAGTAGTACTGCTATAAAAGTGCTGGATACAATTACAAATTTTAGTAGGCTAACTGAATTGCTCTTCTAAGTTCCAATATAATTTTGTTTCTGACATTTCATGTGTTTGGACATGAAGTTAAGGCTCTTGAATCTTGAGAATTTCATCCTCCACTAGTCTAAGTTATTAGGTCTCCGGAACAGACTTTGATGGAGGAATAGACAGGAAAACTTTTTGCTTAAAAGTTTTTATTTGAATGGAAATGACTCACTTGCCCACTTCTGTGAGTCTATTGTTCTAAAAACCGTTCTTATGTCAATAGATTCGGTGAGTCTATTAGCCAAGTTATCAAATTTTGTTGAGGCTGTAAGTAATGACTTTGCTTATCTTTTGATTCTATCGGTCTATCCTTGTAAATATTTCATATTATATACTTTATTGGTTATGTATTGTTTATGAAATACTCGTATTGACATAATGTTGAGTTCCAAGCTCTTGCGATATGATGTTGGTTATTATCTTTCCCCATCTTCCCCTCCTGTATATTAATTGTTTGCTCATCTGTCATTGCAAAGCAGCTGTTCAAACTATTATTCAGTTTTTGATGTTTGCACTATTGGTTTACTTTTCAAACTTCAGTTGGGAAACTGGTTTCTGTTGGAGACCAATTTTTAGTCGTCATGACTTCTGGGGTAGAATAATTTATGACTAGCGCAACAATATTGGTTTAGATTTGGTTCATTAGCTTTCACCTGATTGTCATTTCACCATATTCTTGATCGCAAAGGTAGTGAAATTTATAAGGAGTGTCTTAGTTTGATATGTTTCCACACAAAAAATGTGGAAATGCAGTGGTATTAAGTACATGGACAGGATGTTGAGGATCTTGTTACAATGTTGCAAAAAGAATATTGTTGAATTGTCCTTGTGTCCTAAAAAGATTTCAATATGTTTTGCTAGTTTAATTGAGCTTTCATTTTCCCGTTTTTTTGTGGTGATATCGCATAATAGATTGAGTTATCTTAAGCTATAGCTACTAATGTTGAATCTACTGCTTATTCAGGGTTTGGAAGAGGTGCTGCCATTAAATCCGTCATCTGAACCAAGATATCAGCTTAGAAGAACAAGCTCTATCTGAAATCAGATATTTAAAAATTTTTGTAGTTACGGTTATCTGGAAATCAGATATTTAGATTTTCTCTGGAAAGTGATCGAGGGATTGAGAGAGTCACTCCCTGCCATCTATTGTCATTTTCTTGTGCTCTTCATCTGTTCGCTTTCGATCTTCAGAAAGATCCGTTTTATGTGTGTATATATGGATGTTTGTCTACCTAGTGATTTTGCATGTAGCAGATGATGAGTTAGGTCCTGTAAAAATGCAAGTTGGTTTGATAAAATAGTAAATAATCAACTAATAAAGGAAAAATTTTCATCCCTTGTTTTGTGTGATTAACTTAGGGGCTCTTGACCCACTTGAAGTTTTCTTCTTAATTTTTCTTTTTCCTTTTTTTTTTTTTTTTTTTGGTTGGTGGAATTCTATTCTCTGTAATTTTTGTCAGGGGGAGTATCACATAATTTTGAATCTCAAATGCCATTTGAAATGTATTGGGGTCTTTCAGTTGTTATTTTGGGATGGGAAGGAATATTACAAATTTTGTAGTACTCTGGTATGCAACTGGGCAGATGAACCACTTCTCTTTTTCTTTTGAAGTTGAAAAATAAAGTATTGAGATTTGTGAACACATACATAAGACGATTAACTAATTTTCTTATCAGATATGGAACAATTTTAATACAAATTGATTGGTAGAGAAGATAAAAGGATTACAAGGCGCATTAATATTAGTAGGAAGTGTGAAGCAACATTTCATAAGACTGATGAAATAAGTAGAGATTTGAAATACTACTATCATACAGATAAAAGACTCAATTTTGTAATTGGTTCTTGACATTAGGCTCTAAACATTCAATTTAAATGATCCATCCAAAGTGAATGTCCCAACACATGTATAGTTAATTATTGAACTCAAATAGACATTAGTAGAAAGAACATACATCTTTCATCTACTTAGATACTATGTATTTTGAGATAATTAACGACAAGCACAAATCTATGAGGACATAAAAAAAGAAAGAAATATACCAGTAAAGGCACAGAAATTAGAAGAGCATCTTCTTCAAAAAGAAACAAAACAAAGTTACAATATTCTTTACCACTCACGTAGGATGAGTGATTTCTTTCAAATTATGTATGTATTGGAAGCTTGGACAAAATTATAATCCCTAGCCTATGTCCTAGTCCCTTAAACAATTAGAGTACATAGTCAAAGCTAGTTCATTGATCCCAAATTTGATAATCCTTGCCAAAATTATATAATGAGGGGAGTAAAGCTAAAGTCAGGAGGTCGTGGTTCATTCTGCATTTTCTGAAAATTTCGGGGCATTTTCCTGAACAGCATTTGTATTCAAGTAAGCTTAGGTCCTTCAATGAAGATCTTCTTGGAAGGGAACAAACTGAATTCCGGGGTTAATTCATAAATAAGAATTCATAATGTAGTTCTTAGAAATAGTAGTACTAGTTTTTCTTTCTTCTTAATATAAAAAAGAAAAAAGAAAAGGAAATACGTACGGTAGAACTTTGAAGTTGAAGCGTTTAAATAGGAAGAAACTAATCCCTCCCATTTCACGCCTTCAAACCCTAATTTTGGCGACTTTCAGATCTTCAATATCCAGACAGGTAACTTTCGTATCCTAATTGTTCGTCAATCGAAATTGATTTCATGTTTATTGGTTGATATTGCAAATTTTGAATTTCCGATTTTGGGATTTTGAGTTTTGTTTCTGGGTATGTTATTGGCGGATTTTTCCAATCCTTTTTTGTGTGAGTTGCAGTCATGGATTCCTAGGAATGCATCCTTTCTTTTTTTTTAGGTCAGTATTTCATTAGTTTCTTATAGCTTATTTTTGCACACGGAAATTGGATTAATTTTGTAATCGTTTGTAAAAGCCATCCGAAGGGAGGAATAAATCAATTGCTTACTTATGCAACAGGAATACTTGCTTGTGAGTGGTTCGGTTTTAGAGTTAGGGTCGACTGTGCCTTAGTTCTGTCGGCATTATTCTCGGTATCGCAGAACTCAGAAGAGTAACTTTTTTGGGGGAAAGCTTTGTCTGTCTTTTAATGGAGGAGAGGAAGAGGTTGCTTTTTTTGATTGCTATGGACATCTTTAAACCATTTTCATCATGTATATTAACTACTACGCTTGCTTGTCACGCGGGACCTCTTGCACATCCCTCCCATCTTCCGGGTCTGTATCCCATTCCCTTTCATGGATTTCATTGTTCCACAGTAACTGCAAGCTGGCAAGAATTTTCGTGTGAGCCCTATTTGATCTGGGCTTGGGTGGTTGAGGAAAATTTATCCCTATTGATGTCTACTACGATCATTTTTGGATGTCGTTGAAGTGGTCGAGTAGATTTGGGGTTTTCAGTACTGGGAGCCTTCTTCAGAAGTGGGCTTGTGTCTGGCGTCTTCATTCTTTTCCATGTCTCAAGAATTGTTTAAGAAGATAATAAATAAGAATTTGTCTCATGGGGTGTGGATATGGATTTGACAGACTGTCTAAGGCTGGAAACACCTAAAATAATATTGAATTCGTAATCCTTTTATCGTGCAATGCTAGATGGTCTTTGCAAGATAGCTAGTGAACCATGCATTGCAGATATTGCTTGGATGGTGTAGAGCTACATGTGGTTATGTATACTATTGTTTTTGATGGATTCTGTAAAAGTGGAAGACTTGATAAAGCACTTTGGATATGTTTAATAGTGTCTCTCTTGAAGGAGTTGGCTACCTCATGCAAGCTAAGTTTGCTAGATGAAGCTAAAAGATCTTTTTGTCCAAATGGAAATAAATGGTCATTTGGCATATGAGATTGCCTACAATGTAATCATTTGAGGATTTCTTAGATGTGGTAAATATGATGATGCTGTGGTTTATATGAACAAATGTATGGGAAAGGGCTTGCGTTGGATCTGTCTAGTTATTGAATGTATTAGAACTAATCTCCAAACTACAAATGGTCGCTTTTTACTATGTGCTTTAGAAGTTTTGAATGGGAAAAAGTCAAAGATATCAATGGAGGGTAACTTTGAGATTTTGGAAACTCATTCATCTCTTGCTAATCTCTGAGGCCTTCAAAGCTAACGATGATATATGCTTTAATCGATTTCCAAATGGAAGGAAATGATTGTTGGACAAGATTACCTACAATGTTATCAGCCCGATTAGCAAAGAAACGGGTTGGAAAGTACTTGTTTTGGATCCATTTAACTTATTGTATGCATTAGAATTAATCTCTAGAGAAGAAACAGTTGTGTTTTTTTTTTCTTTTGCATTCTGCTTCAGAACCTTGTTCTGATTGGAGGAAGGTCAAAGAATTGTATTATTTCTTCAAAGCTGAGGATGATATTGCATTTTCTTCTTGTTCCTTTGTACGACTTGTTTGTTTTGAAGACTGGATCAAGCACATACATGTCTCAGTGCATGTATTTGCTCTTGGTATTTGCCTAGACTTTACTTGTATATAGCCTGTTATTTAGGATGGAGGAGGGTGAGGTCTATGTAAACTCATGCACATGGTGCAACGTAGTTTGAAATTGTGTCTTATAAACAGGACCGAAGGGAGTGTAAAGCAAAAAATTTGCTTATGCTTATATCATTTTCTGCAAGGGGACAGTTGTTAGTCCGATGGCCACCGATCTTGAATGGCGTATAATTCAATTGTTTGGGGGCAATTCTTATTTTCGATTCTTCTTCGATTTGAACACACAACTTGAGATTCTTTTTGTGAACACACAACTTGAGATTCTTTTTGTGTTCAAATGATCTGCTTCTCACATTCCTTGAATAGCCGAAACATTGAGGAATAGGAATAGCCAGATTACTTGAGATTGTTTCCAAGCAATTTATTTCTGTTTTGAGTTTGGATTTTTTTCTCAGACCATGATTGTTGGATTGAAATCCTTAAATTGTTTTTTGGAGATTTAGTATTGAAACATGGAGTATATTAAACCCGGAATTAACAAATTTAACCAACGTTTTACTTTTACAAGGTTCAAGGTTCTCTGTATGCATTCTCCAACTTGAAGGAAAATGTCTCATAAAAATGTAAACTGTAGGTGACTAATCTTGCCATATAGATTTAGTAAAGATGTATTATTCGCAGATATGCCAAATGTTTCTCTTCCCGAGGTATGTTTTTTTCGCAATATGAAAGAGCATATCGTATATAAAGTCAATTAGCACAAGGAATTGCGACTACAGGCAGCAAAATGTTCTCTATTACAGACTGAAACTGTACAACAATGTACCGACACTCGGTCTTATAGTTTAATCTGAAGCGGTTTTGCAGTGACATCCTTTTCGGAATGTATGATCCAAATCCAGAAGCTACCAGCTTCCATGCCTCCACTTCTGTCGATCAAATCACTGCCATTTTCCAGTTGATGGTCCAATAAAGACCAAAAGTTCTCCGGATGCTGTTTACTCTGAATCGACACAGACATATTCTTCTTCTTCACTACCACTATCAGCTTCTGTGCCCTCATTTTCTGACAACCCCTCACTGTCATTTCTGTCAAAAACGTATGGTCTGATAAAGAGCAAAAGTTTTTTGGACCGTTCTTCAAGATCTCCTTCCAGCATCACATTCCAGCATCCATGGATGCTCAGGTAAGAAAGAGCCTCACACTCGGAAAATATCGCGCTAACGCCAACATCCGTCAAACGGCCAAATTCAAACTCAAGGTGCTGTAATCTTGCCATGGTATTAGCTATGGTGAGTGCCTCCTTATCATCAGCTTCACAACTCTCCAGTGGAGGCATGTTCCTTTTCAAATGAGTCAAAGACTTGCATTGTTTCCCAAATGCTTCAAGACCCTTGAATGTGATCATAAAACAATAGCTAATGTCCAACTCTGTTAAGCTTACCAATGACCGGGCATGCCTTATCACCATCTGATCAGTAATTTCGCTCACAGGAATATGAAGGATTTTGAGACATCTTCCACTGTGATGGAGAAACAGAACAGCAATCATCATTTCAAGTTTTAGACTTTTGGAATTCTAGAATAGTAACAATCAAGTTCTTTCATGAAACATAACAGAAGGAAAAAGGGGGAAGTTCTTATTATTGGAGAGAAATAGTTCACATCGTTGCATTTAAGTAATGCGTAAAACTGCCAAGTTTAGAACTATTTCAAGTGAGCCTGATTACTCGACAACTAAATTTGACAATTGGATAACATTGATTTGCAGTCTCCAACTATTTATTTTGTAATGACATCTCCCACAGGTTTCCCTATCTCCATGTCCATCTATGATATGAGTGGTATTTCCTACAACTGTATTGAGTATAGGGCTAAACCATATCCATAACCGAAAGCATACATGTTTTAACAAGATCAGATTATGCAACTACCACAGAACTGAATATATCATGTTTCATCGACATAATTCAGTGGTCTCTCTTGCAACTTACAAGGTCTGGAAAGTACTGAGAATGAAGTAGACTTCTCTTTTTTCAGTATCCTTCCTAATTATCCAATACCGCCGTCATTATAGTCACAAAACAAACATCAAAGTGCAAATGGAGGGTACAACTCTATTAGGATTACAAATCCAGGACCTAGTTTTGCAAGTAGTTTAACCAGGCAACAGAGGGAGACTATTTCGTCATAGTAGCATCAGGGATAAATCTAAGGACCTGAGTTTTAGGTAATCAATGATCCACAGATGATTTTATCAGTGATCATTCTTGGTTCACCATCCTCAAAGTAACCATAGCATATGATAAAAATTCCAAAACTTAGTCACAAATAAATCCCTTTGCTCTAGTCTTCCTCCTCAGGTTAACAAATTGGACAAATAACACAACAAACCCCAAAGCAAAAACTGTTCACAAGCTATAAATGACTGCAGCTGGAACAGTAAAACCCTTGTAATGTTGTAGAATTTTGCAAATCGCAAACCAAAAACCTAAAACATCTGCCATAATCAACCAAGATAAAGATCACCCGGGAAAAAAAATGCAAAATTAAACAAGAATTTCATACCAATTTGAAACGTAAGAAAATCCGGCATCGCCGAGCCGGGAAGCCGAAAGTTTCTTGAAGGTGCATTTGCTCCAGCGAACAAGTCTTCTAACAACAGAGTCAACCTTTAGCCTGGCACCATCAGAGCGGCTGGAAGTGGAATTCCAGTGACTCCGACACCATTGCTGCAATTCAATCTCCTCCCAACAGTCCGGGCCTGCCACCGTTTCCAGCCACCCTCGGCAGACTAAGCTAACTGACCTCACCATTTCATCCACCGGACCGATTTTCCTGAATATAATGGATAACAGTTCAGGACTCATTTCATCCCACCTCCGTGATAGTTGTAGGATCCCGTTCTGGGTTTCATCGGAGACCCTTATGGATTTGTTGGCTTCCATTTCTCCGAAATTTGAACCGATGAACAATGGGCAATGGCCGGAGAAATTACCGCTGGAAGAGCTAAAGGAGGGAAAGTTTCTAATTTTAGACGGGAAGGTTGATTTTGAAGCTGAATGTGATTATTGGAATTTCATCTGGTTTTTTTTCCGGCTTAGAAACCCAGAAAATGGATTTGGGTAGTTTCACTGTTTTCTTTGTTGGGCTGATTGTATACCTTAAAAGTTAGTGGGCCTGAGCTTAGTGATAATGTCACGACCCGGGGCCTTTTGAGGTGGCCAGAAAAGAGAACAGGAGAATCAGAGATGACCGGAGGAAAAATAGGGTTCGAAGATGAGAGAAATCGGAGAAGAAGGGAAAATTGAAAAATTCCAATTTCATTCAATATTTTCGATAATCCATTTGCAGTCCCTGGTAGACTATTTATAGTCCCCAAATTACATAAATTACAAATAAATCTCTAAACTTTCTTATCCTTGCAATTCAGTTCAGGAGTGTGACAAACCCCTCCTCTTAAAATAGTCTTGTCCCCAAGACTGTGTTTCAAAAAAGAACAAACTGCCAAATAAAACTTCAAAAATACTACGGTAATTGACAATAATACTAACATCAAATACTAACACTAAAACTGAAAATGAAAAGATTGTATAGAAAGATAACCAATCAGCTATTAATCCCTTGTAACCATTCTCAGCACTGCTGACTTCTGAATTCCTTGCAAGCAGGTGCCAAACTATCAACCAAGTAAAGTTCTGGTCAATGCTTACAACCATTGTTTCGATCCTACCTTCAAAAATCTTTGTACCTCCCCTAAAAATGGTCACTTTTTCAGTCCAGCTAAGATGCGGGTCCGTATTGTTCCATGCTTCATTAGAGCTCGATCCTGTTTCAGTTTCGAAAATGATAGTTTGAGCTACTTCTGTCCAGCTCCCGCCATTTTTAAGCAAATAAGATCCACCAGAATTTGGCCTGGACACTGGTTCAGCAACATTAGTTTTAATAGTGCAAGGAAAAGAAGCATGAATATGAAGCTGGCTGTTAATCTGGTTACCAAAACTCTTGAAGAAGTAAGGAATATGATTAAATCTATTGATAATTCAAAACCAGGACTTGCGTTCCCTGTTTGCGTCTTTAGACGACATTCCAGCATGCTCTCCTTCTACAACAATTATTCCCTAATCCCAAACAGCACCATGAATGCTTCTACACATGTTAGACATTTTCTTCCCTAAATCACTTCCATTTCGTTCATCCAAAATAAATCCTTTTGCATCATTACCTTTACTGCCAACTGGACTTTCAGCACTAGCAAACACATTGAAATCACCAGATTCAACAACGCACCACCCAACTGGAACTAAAGATGTAATCATCCCTCCCATATCATATGGCAAAATGACATAGCAATTCCAAACAGGCACATAATCATAAAACAAAGATTCTAAACATGCATCTTTATCACTATATGAATCATTGGAGCTGAGAATCATTTTACTTTTAGTGTTACCTTCAATCCTTACTTGACAGTTGTATGCTTCTTCTTTCGGGACAAAATAGTCTACCTGGAGGCGCTCTCAGGACACGATTTATGCATAGTCTTCTCATGAATACAGACAATAGAACTAGACCAACAATCATAAATTTCAGTTCTGCAAGGATGCATTTCAAGCAAATATATATCCCTGTCGACAGGGTGAACTCCACCCCGCATTTCCAACTCTCTAAAACTAAGATGTCGGTGATGTAACAACTTCATATGAAGGTTACAGCAGCTTCATTCGGAATAAAAAACTCAAATGACCCTACCTCCTTAATTTCAGCCTTGTCCTCAAGGCTACAAGAAGGATAAAACCACAGGCTGCACAACCTGCTTATAAGTTCTTGCAAATATTCAGCAATTGAAAATAAGGAATGGAATATACCAATCCACTTGTCAATAAATTCTTCCCTATATTCTTTCTGTTTCTGCAGATACAATACCACTTCCAGAACGTGCCATGCAATCAACAAACGAAAATTTTCTTCAGCAATTAGTATCACAGTTTCAATATTAACTTCTCTATTGTAGAGACAACATAAGTCGACCGTCTTAACCATGTTAACATGTTCACATATTACAGCCAAATTAAACCCTTCATTTCCACTTACCCCCACACAATTTCCACAAACAATAAGTTCGATTTTAGGTTCATAAGTGATATCAGCAGGAGCATTCTCAGATAGCAAATTCACAGTATTCTTCAAATGCCAAAATTTTCCCATCTTCTCTGATTTCTCTCATCTTCGAACCATATTTTTCCTCCGGCCATCTCTGATTCTCCCGTTCTCTTTTCTGGCCACCTCAAAAGGCCCCCGGGTCGTGACATTTATATCAAAGCCGGCCGATTCTTGGCCGACTCTATATCGAGTTCACAGATTCGTTCGTTCTTTTCTTCCGCTTCTGATTTGAACCCTCTGAACTCTGAACTCTAATTCTCTCCCTTTCCGTTTCTGAAATCTGTGTGTGTTCTTTGTTGCTCCGACCGCACCAGTTCATTTTCTGTTCTTTGATTTGAAAAGATTTAGATTTCCGTCAATTCGGAATGGAATTCAGAGACATCAACTTTTCCAGGCTTAGAACCTTATTAGCTTTACCCCCATCCGAAATCCGTCCACCCAATCCGACGAAGGCAAACCTTCTGGAACCTTCACCGGTCGGAATTCCCCTTTTTACCGGCAACAAAGTCGGCGAGGGGATTGACCGAAGGGAGCAAATTTTCTCTTTTAATTCCATACAACCTAATGCAAAACTGTTTATTTCCGAATTCTATCTAGTTGAAGAGCCACTACAATTCATGTATGGATTACTATCCATTTCACAATTATCTGCATGGGAGGACTTCGCGGATCGATTGGAGCTTAGATTCGGTAAAGTTTTTTGGCCGACCGTGGCGGTTACTGTTTGGGAAACCAGTGATGAGTCAGAACAAGGAGGAGAGTCTTCGGGTGATCAGGGTGTTTCAATTCAGACTATAGTTGTTCATTGTGGGGTCCTTAGTGAAGTTAATAATGAAGTTGAAATGAATTTAGATGTTGATGTGGGTTTTAAGGAAGTCAAGGATGATTGTGTTGAACTTCTTGTTGATTTAAATCATTTATGTGATAGAGGACTTGGTCCTAACTCATTTTATGTTGATCCGGGGGGAGTAGAATGTACTATGGATGCTTCATTGTCTACTGGTGATACAAGTAGTAATGAGGATATTGTTTTGAAAGATGTTTCCGCTGATATGATTAGTTGGGTTGAAACTGAATTGAATGTATCTAATTTCAGTCATAATTACAACGGTTCTGATCCTGAGACTGTATTGTTTACTGGTAATGCACTAAGTATTCCGTTGAACAAATGGGAAAAGGTGAGACCATGGGAAAAATACCTTTCATGTTTTAAAGGAGGAACTACATGCTTGGTGGCAATTCCAGATTGTATGAATTAGTGGTTGATACCTATGTCTATTTAGATGCGAAAAATGGTATACAATAGTTGCCTCGGACGACTTTGCTGGAATTTTCGTTGTTGTTGCTGATTCTAGTGATACGGATTTAGACATTCCTTCTAGGAATTTAAATGAAGTGGATAATGCCAATGATCCTATGTGTTTAGTGGAAGCTGATAAAAGAAGCCGAATTGCAGAGACTTTTAACTGGGAAAACTTGTAGTTTTGTTTTTGATCCGGGTGATGGTTTTCAAAATCTAAAAGAGTTAGTCAGGCAAATTATCTTTTTGAAACACCCTGATCACCGAAGACAGAATTTCCTCATCTAAAACATTCATATCCACATAGATCACATCTTTACATGCATTAACCTTTTCCCCCAAAATTAAAGCATCATCATCCACTTTTGAAGAATCATCTACGAGAGTTACAGATTCGGTTAAACTTATATTTTGGGGCGAGGAATTACCATTCTCATCAAGGATGTCAGAGGAGCTGTCAACAGGCGAACAAACATCATTCTTTTCCTCCTCTGATTCGTGCGCCTCAGATTCCACCTCTATAACATCATCAATTTCTTCATTCATCGTGACCGACTCTCCTCCTTGTTCTGACTCGTCACTGGTTTCCCAAACAGTAACCGCCACGGTCGGCCGAAAAACTTTACCGAATCTAAGCTCCAATCGATCCGCGAAGTCCTCCCATGTAGATAATTGTGAAGTGGATAGTAATCCATACATGAATTGTAGTGGCTCTTCAACTAGATAGAATTCGGAAATAAACAGTTTTGCATTAGGTTGTATGGAATTAAAAGAGAAAATTTGCTCCATTCGGTCAATCCACTCGCCGACTTTGTTGCTGGTAAAAAGGGGAATTCTGACCAGTGAAGGTTCCGGAAGGTTTGCCTTCGTCGGATTGGGTGGACGGATTTCGGATGGGGGTAAAGCTAATAAGGTTCTAAGCCTGGAAAAGTTGCTGTCTCTGAATTCCATTTCGAATTGATGGAAATCTAAATCTTTTCAAATCAAAGAACAGAAAATGAACTGGTGCGGTCGGAGCAACGAAGAACACGCACAGATTTCAAAAATGAAAAGGGGGAGAATTAGAGTTCAGAGGGTTCAAATCAGAAGCGGAAGAAAAGAACGAACGAATCTGTGAACTCGATATAGAGTCGGCCAAGAATCGGCCGGCTGAAACTAAATGTCACAACCCGGGGGCCTTTTGAGGTGGCCAGAAAAGAGAACGGGAGAAGATCCAGTAGCAGTATGAGCAGAGACACGGGGACGTCTACCATCTTGCCTTCCAAAAGTTCCAGAAGTGCCAGTAGCTGAGGAAGAGTTTCCATTTTGACTTCCGCACATTCAACAGGGAAAAAAGTATGCACATCTCCTCCAAACCTTAAATTCTCCAGAACATCATCTTTTCCTTTTTTTTTGAAAAAAAAACGTAATAGAACTCTTTTCTTTTTAAAAGTAAAACGTAATGGGATTAGGGAATTAGAATGGATGTGGTCCATGTGGACAACTAACCACTTGGTCAAGAGTTGTGGGCTAATTAAAAATTTTATTTAGAAACAATGCTAATGAGATGGGCCGAGCTCTTGGCTCTGGATGTGCTTTATGAGCAGTGGTAACAAATTTTTTTTTTTTTGAGGGGCTTGGGCCTATCCAAGCCCCTTCATAGGTCCCATTCCTGATGTTCGAATTACGATTTGATAGCTGATGGTGAGACATCTAACCATATAAACAGCCAGTAACAGCTAACATTAGCAATGCCTGAAAACTAACAACAAAGTTTGATTCACAGTATATATGATTGAAGAAGGTAAATAATTTAATAAAGAAGCTTTAGTTTTGATAATTTTAGGTGCAATAATCAAAACCTTTCAAAAATTTCTTTTTACGTATATTTTTTACATATAATGCGATGCTCATTGTAACTAATTTACTTGGTGAGGTTTTTTTTTTCCAACATGATTTTAACTACTAAAAAAAATCTTTTTCACAATTGAGAGTATGATATTTATATATATATATATAAATATATATATATATATATATTTGGTACACTGAAGGATGCTAAATGCCTTGAAACTAAATTATTATAGATTTTAGATATGCAATCACAAAAACATTATAGGGATGGAACAACAATCAATGTTCTGCAGGTGCTCCACCATGTAGTAAAGAAATTAAATTCAAGAAATTAAAAATGAATCTTCAAAAAAGTTTATATGACATGAGAGTATTATTTAAACGTATTTTTCCAAATACGCCTAAAAAAGTGCAACATTAATTGATAGGCAGTAAACATAACTGTCGGGGTGCCATCTTCTAATTCCTCTGCAAAATAACCTCGTTATCAATGTTTTTAAAATATATAAGATTAGAAATTATTAGTTGACATAAGTGAAATCCCGAATCAAGAATTTGAAAGATGAATGTTGAATATTGATTCTTGAAATTGAAAAGCTTTTGAGGAGGTCAAATCCTTTGATCTTGTAAACCCATTTAGAGCCTATGGCTTTCTATCCTGCTTGTAAGGAAGTCAAATCCCAAGTTCCATATGTTTCTAGAGCTCCCAACTCTTGGTTCATTGCATCAACCCACATGTGATCAGTCTTGGCCTGATTATATGTAACATGTTCTTGGATACTAGATAAGTGTGCAAGAAAATCATTATGCATAAGTGCTCAGACTGAATTTGTAACAGGTGGTTTTTGTGTATGTGTAGACTTGACTGAAGTAGAAGTGTCAAAGTCTTGAAGATATGAAGGTGTGTGTCTTGTCTAGTACTTCTTTTAGGAATGAAATTCTCAGATGAATGAGGTACTATTTGAGAGGAAGGTATTGTAGTTGATGGAGAAGGTTATGATGAATGATCATTTAACAAGTCAGAATCATCATGAGGATTAAAGAACTCTTCAGTATCAAATATATTAGAAAAAGAGTCATTTGATAAAATAGGTGTAAAAGATTCATCAACATCAGGTATATTACAAATAGGCAGAACAAGCTTATCTTGGTTCATATGTATAGTAGGAAAGGTATCTTCATAAAAAACCACATCCCTGGACACTAGTCTTTTGAAGAGATGGACAGTATATTTTGTAGCCTTTCTGGCGGTTTGCATATCCTAGAAAAATACCCTTGAAAGACCTAGGATCTAATTTATTCCTTTCTGGACTAGTATTTACTTCAAAGGCAAAACATCCAAAGACTCTCAAATGTTCTAAGTCAGGTGGTTTATTGTATAGTTTTTCATAAGGTGGCTTCCATTCAAGAATTTCACTAGGCAATCTGTTTATGAGATAAGTGGCAGTTAAGATAGAATCCCCGAAAAGGATTTAGGTAGTTTTGATTGAATTAATAAGGCTCTTGCCACTTGCAGAAGGTGTCCATGCATACTTTCAGCAACACCATTCTGCTGTGGTGTATAGGGACAACTAGTTTGATGAATGATCCCTAGTTTGGAAGTAAAATTGCCTAATGGCTGATTTAGAAACTCAGTTCCATTATCTGTTCTAATGGTCTTAACTGATGCCTGAAATTGGTTTGTGATCAAGGAATGAAGTGCTCTATTAACGTAGGCACTTCTGATTTGTGTTTGAATTAGAAAACCCAAGTACATCGATTGAAATCATTCACTATAGTAAAAAAATCATGACATCCACCCAGGGTTGATTGCTGATATGGTCCCCAAACATCCATATGTAAAAGATCATAACATCTATTACTTTGAATTCTGCTTCTAGAAAAAACAAGTCTAGTCTATTTAGCTAAGGGACAAACTTCACATTTGTGGGTTAAGCAGTCACTCTTATTACATGAGGAAAGCTGTTTCATTACATTCTCTGGAGGATAACGTAGTCTACGATGCATTACATCAAATGGAACAGCAGATAAAGCATGTGAAGTGATTTTTGTTGGAACTTCTGGTGGTGACAGGATTTCTGATGCGCATCATGAAGGCTGCAAACTGAATTTGTGATTGCTGGATGGCTTCTAGAGTGAATGAATGCGGGTATACGATGTACAATTCTTTGATTAACCTTCCTGTTGCAAGAACCTTTTTGGTAGGAGACACCAATCAGTAAAGAATTTGAAATATAGGTTATTTACTTTGGCTAATTTTCTGACAGAA